AGGAGTTTGGGCCCTTTCGTTTCTTCCCTGGGAGCTTAAGCCATCAATCGAGGCCACGAGGCAGACGCCAGGCCCTTCTTGGACACTGAGTTGCCTCTGAGAACTGCCCTGCCCCTCCAGCCACACCCCAACCAGCGCCGGCTGTTTGTTTTAGAGATCATTTTATGTTCTGAAAAGACAAGAAAGTGGTGAGTCCTTCTCTCTCTCCTGGCCTTCGCCTCTGCCCACATCAGAGCATGCCCTTGGCACCTCCTACGTCAGCTCTGATCCATCTATAGTAGGAGAAACTCCAGGAAACATCGGCTGCTACCCAGGGCACCGTGAGCTCGAGGTTGGCGAAGCCCTCCAGGAGACCTGTTCCCATCTCAATGGCAGGTATGTCTCCTGCAAACCGTGTCTCCTGCCTTGCAGCCAGTATTCCTTAATGCAGAGCTCTATGAAGAACCTTTTTTAAAAAATGCATTCTAGAAAAAATACATTCCTGAAAATACACGTGTTACAGCTTCTTCTGATGGAAAATAAGAACAGCGGATCCCAAAGCAGAGGAGGCTCCTCTTCCACAGGGACAGGAGCCACGCAGCTCAGGCCGGGCCCAAGCCACAGAGGTCCTGGGCCGCGAGCACCCCCACCAGCCTGCGACGCCTCGGCCATCTCCATCCCCCGCACTCCTGGTTTACGGCTTACTGCCTCAACCTCCCAGGACCCGAGGGCTTGGGCAGGCCCCACACATCCTCCGAACACCCTCGGTGGGAGCTGGACCAGAACTCGGAGCAGACAGATTGGAGGCCACACGTGTGTGTGCACATCAGAGGGTCTCCTACCCATGTTGGCAGCAGCGTGGGCCGCCAGGCGTCCCTGGCTGCGTCGGCTGCGCCATGAGTGTTGGCTGTCTCACACGCCGGCTTTCCCAGAGTCGCCGCTGGGTGCCGAGCACCTGCTCACTGCACGGAGCAGGTGGCTCCTTCTGGGCAGCTTTGCCCGCCGCAGTCCCCCAGCCTCCTCTCCTCAGCTGGGCATGTGTGGGAATGCCCACCCGGGTCCTCCACGGGGCCTGCAGCCTCCACATTCGGGCCTACTGCCCTCAGACCCAGGGGTCATAGTCCAGGAAGCCTGGGCCAGTGGGGGTATCCTGACGTGCATGTAACACTGAGAACCATGTAAATAATTTGGGGCGTTTGAGCACGCATGGCCTTTGGGGAGTGTGGCCGGCTTGCCTCAGGTGGACCCCCCACCACCCTGGGGCAGAGGAGGGGGCTGGCTATCAGGACACCAGGGTTACACTAGGGCAGAGCCCATGTCCCCTCTGGAACTCCTCATAGTTCATACCTTAAAGCCCAGGCACTTGCGATGGGACCAGCGAGGTCAAATGCAGGACCCCTGGTCCTCACTGTTACCAGGAAGTGACACAGATGACCAGTCCTCAGAAACCGGAGCTAGCCCCACCCATCCCACCAAGGCACAGCAGCCCCTGGGCAGTCGCAGGGCCCAGGCAGGAGGGTCCGGCAGGCTCCTCACTCATAACATGGCCTGAGGGGGCTGGGCAGCTGGTCCTGGGAGCCCCCACCTGGTGCACCAGGCCGTGAACCTCAGCAAAGGCCCCGCCTGCTTCATACCCAAGATTTGGCAATTGTTGGGGGTTACTTTCTCCAGACCACAACACCCTGAAGGCCGACACTGGGGAAGGCTGGAGCCCCCGCTCTTCACCCCCACCTCCTGGGGCTGTCGAACCCCAAGGAGCACCAGACCCAGGATCCCCCAGGAGGGCCGGAGGCAGGAAGTGCCTCATGGTGCCAGGGGAGGGTGGACGCCTGACTATGGCCTGAAAACAGAGGGAGTTGCTTCCAATAAAGCACGGAAAGAAAACAGCATGAATGGACCAGAAGTGCTTCCCAGAGTGAGAAAGGAGAGCGCTCACAATCTCTTCCACCCCAGGCTGCTTGGAGTAGGCCAGCGCTAAATCAGTGCCCGCACCAGCCAAGCCGTCGGAGCTCATCGACTGTCAAGGAAGGTGTGAGCCTTTGGCCAAGTGGTGCTGGGAGCTGGGGAGAGCTGAGCACTGCCCGGGGCCTCCTGAGTGCTCTGCCACCTGGCAGAGCAGGGCAGGGAAAGGAGGGCCCCTGACAGAAAACACCCTTATGGTCCTGGGGTCACCTTTGTGACCGAGGGGGAACGTATGTGTGTCACCATCATCCTGCACGACCGCTTTCTGACTTTGGAACCACTGTTTGCCTCTTTATTTTGGGTGTGGACCTGGACCCCAAGAAGCCCTTCCCCAAAGGTCATGTGACCATCACCACCTTCCTGTGTCCTACACCATACACCTGTGCTCACCTGGGTGCCAGGCAGTGGCCCGGCAGGGAGGAGGAGGGAGAGCAGGCGGCGGCGTGCCCATTCCTCTGTCCCGGCCTCTCTGTGACTGAGGCCCTGCACATAGCTCTCCACACTGGGCATTGCCCTGGGCTGTGCCTGGGTGCTCCCTGAGGCCCAGGCGGGAGGCGGCTGCTCCAGAACTTTCAATGCCCCAGTCTGTGCCGTCAGCAAGAGGATCAGGAGCCTCCCCTGCACCCTATTTAATAAGCACCTGCTCATTCCTGCTTGGGGTGCATGCAACAGAAACCGAATTGTCAAAGGTGAGATTGATAACATGAATTAGACAAGACCATGCTATTGAATCCGTTGCATTGATCACTCAGATGTGCTTGGACTGATCAAGTGCTGCATGAAAGCTTGCCCGGCTCAGCCCTCCCACCCGGACACCAGCGGTGGGCACCGAGGATGCTGAGCCCGGACCTGATTGCTGAGCACCCAGGGAGGGGGATGCCAGGCAGGCTCGTGCCACATATGTGAGCCGCAGCCCCAGACCAGCCATGGCTGAAGTCACTCACCCCAAAGGTGGGCTCTGCACCTCTGCGTTTCTCATAACCTGAGTGTGTCTGGCTTCCCCTGCCCAGCCGTGGCCTCACTGGGTACTCACCCTGGACACTATATGGCAGCTGGTGCTGGCCCTGCCCCACAGCTCCACCTTCCTCCTCCTGAAAGCCCAGGGCACCTTCCAGAGGCCAAGCAGGTGGAACGGGGCAGAGACCAGACATCACTATTCTCATTACCGACGGTGACAGGGGCCCGGGACGCCCTGAAGAGCCCTCAGCTGTGCGCTGACCTTGTGCCTCTCCCCATCCAGCGTGAATGAGATGAGAGAGAGAGGACAATGGTCCCAGGAAGGGACCCTCAAGAAATGCCAATCAAATGCAGTGGACTCTCACCCAGTTTGGTGGGAACGCCTGAAGTCACAGGACAGAGAGCTGAGGGGGCAAGGCTGAGGGGAGGTGCTGTGTGCATGCCAGGGCGCCCACGGCCTCCGACAGGCCTTGGCCTCCAGGCACGCCGTGCAGCAGCAGTCAGGACAGCCCATGGACTCTGCGCCAGTGCTTGGCATCTGAACCCCAGAAGCGCTCTCACCTGACCCCACATGCGATCAGCTCTGGGACTCCCATCCACTGTAGCTGCCAGTGTGGGTGGTGCTTGCCCAGGGCCCAGGTGGCACAGTCAACCGGACTCTGATCTTCAGGGCAACTGTCTGGCCAATAGGGTGATGTCAGTGGTGCGCTCAGCTTGGAACATTGCAGGAATGCAGCTGGGTGGGTGCTGGCTGGGATCTTGGGGTCTGGGTGCTAGAAGGACAAGAGCCCCAGGAGCAAGGTCCCTGTCCAGACAGCAGCCGGGCCTCTGCCCACCTGGCACCCCCAGCTGGCTGCCAAGCCTCTCCTGAAGCTGAGAGCTGCCTTTTTGCTGCCTCTGGGCACCCACGTGGGCTGCCAGTTGTCTCGGATCGGATAGAAGCCCCCTGCCTGGAGGCGTGAGCCGTGCTCCTGGCCCGCCGCTGAGTGGACCCCGCCCTGCCCTGCCCCCAGCTGATGGCCTGGACCCGGAGGCTTCTCTTCAGCCACTCTGCAAATGCGATCCACACCACTCCCCGCCCCCCGCCAGCCCCTCATGCACGTGGCTCTCCCTGGCCTTTGGGGCAATCCAGTGGCCTTCAGGGCTGTCTGCAGAGGCCTTGTCTCCCTGCGGCCGGAGAGAACTCCGGCACCATCCACTTCTCCCTGATCTGCTGCACTCCTCAGCCCTGGCCCTTGGCCCTCCTTGTCTCTTCCCATGCATCCCAGGGCCCAGGATCCGTGGAGAGGCCCTGGGAAGGCACACACTGCGCCCTGCAGACCTGCCGTGGCTGCCTCGGGGTTCCCCTGGGAAAGGCACCCAGGGAGGGCCAGGCAGGGAAGCAGGAGCCCGCTTGGCTCCTGCCGAAGAGTGAACAGAAGCAAAACGTGCCTTTGGTTAATTTTTCTTCTAATAGAAGTAATTGAGAGTCAAATGAAATACCGTTGACATTTTCCGTGAAAATAATCACCCTGCTATTTCACATGATTTTCCCTGGCTTTGTTGTATGACTTGGAAACCAGGCTTGTTATGAAGGAGGCAGAGTTGGGGTGTGCAGCGAACAGGCGTTTCTCCCAAGCGCACGGGCACGTTTTTTCAAACTGTGTTTTTTAATTGGCCTCTTCATGTACAAATGAGCAGTGTAACGGACAAGCAGGGCACCTTAATCCCAGCGCCACAGTCGGCCAGTTTGCAGGTTCAGGCCTCCTTTATGATACATGCCACAGACGCAGTGTCTTTGTATTAAAAGGATTTTTGTGCTGAAATGTGCCCGTTCGAGGTTTTGTTTGCATTTTATATACTGTGCCATTGTTCCCATACCTCCTGGCATCGTTAAAATTCAAAGGGGAGTATATTTTGCAAAGCAAATTGGATCGCATTCTAATGAAATATAGTTTCTCACCACCAAGGGACAGGCTGCAAGGACCCTCAAGACGATGTGGTTTTCTAGCAGCCTGTGGTCCTCGGGCCCCGCTGCAGCCCCAGGGAGCTGCAGTGCCGTGCGGGGACCCACACAAGACCCTTGGGAGCCACCAGCCTGAGCCTCACCCTTCTGTCTGCAGGGACAGTGGCACAGCGACGTCTTCAGTGGACTGGGCAGCATGGCCCACTGCTCAGGGGTCACCTATTATGGGTTGTGGATCAACGGCCACCCAGCAGGTAGGTGTCCCTGCCTTCCCGTGGGCACTGTGAGGTCCACTGTGGGGTGTGTCCCTGGCCCCTGGGCAGTCACATGGGAGATACTGACACAGAGCACACTGGGGAGGAGTGGGGCGCAGTGGAATCTAAAATCCCATCCCTTTTTAGGAAAAACATGTTTGATGTCAAAAGTGCTCCTGCTGCAAGTGGGGCCTCCCAGATTTGGGGCCTGAGTGTTTGGGGGTCACCTGGTCACAGCTGCGCTGTCCCTCAAGTGGCTTCTGTCCAATTTCCCTGAGCCCTCTGCACTGTGATGTGACCACAGGGTGGCCTCGGGCTCACAGAAGGACCAGCCAGTTGGGCCTCCTCTGGGGGTGCCTCCCTGAGCCACCTTCCCTCTCACCATGGTGTTCCTGGTGGCCTCTGGGTGGCCTCTCGATAGATTCCAGGATGAGGGTGCCACCCCAGGGGTCAGTCTGGCCAGGGACATGACACTCATCCAAACCTTGGGGCCAAGTTGGTGACAGGTGCAGGTGCCGCTAGCACCGACTCGGGCTCTGCACTGGGGATGCCTGCAAGGTCTCAGCCCAGGCAGCCCCCCACATGCCTCCTCAGCCTGGAGGACCTTGGAGGACCAAGACCTGTTAGCTGGGAGAGGTCACAGGGTTACAGGTAACAGTAACTGCTGCCCTCAGCACAGACCTGCTGGCCCTGGGCTCCTCATGGAGGCTGAGGTCTTGGGGAAGGCAGAAGTGGCCAGGTGCCCGGGGAGCACTGAGAGGCAGGTCCCAGCACCCGCACACACACAGTGCACCCTGCAGGGGATCCTGGAGCAGAGGCTGAGCCTGGGTCCCGGCCCAGATGCTTCTGCCTCAGGTGGAGTCTCCCTGAGGGGCCCCTGGATCCTCAGCAGAGCCCTCCAGGAGCGTCTTGGTGACCTCACCTCAAGGGAAATAATCCAGATCCCAGCCCCTCCTCCCAAAAGTCTCTTGGTCCTTGTTGAAATTCCTAAGTGGGAAAAACGGGGCAAGAGGTGCAGGACGTAGCCTGGGTTCACCCTGAGGAGGGTCTCCCTCCAAGCCAAGGTGGGCTCTGGCTTTACCCCCAGAACACAGCAAGAGCTCCCACGGGGGCCAGAGCTTCAGGCCCTTCCCCAGCCCCACCGTTGCCATGAAGTCCAGGGCACCCGCCACCCTGTGTACCAGGCGTCACCTGTGCTGCTTTTCAAGGCAGCCTCAGATTCCAGGCGTTCTCCCAGCATCTGCTTTTTAAGCCCCTCCATTGTGCTTTGCTGGAGGCCGGTCCACAGTGGAGAGTCAGGGATGGCTGGAGGCCGGTCCATGCTGGAGAGTCAGGGATGGCTGGAGGCCGGTCCATGCTGGAGAGTCAGGGATGGCTGGAGGCCGGTCCATGCTGGAGAGTCAGGGATGGCTGGAGGCCGGTCCATGCTGGAGAGTCAGGGATGGCTGGAGGCCGGTCCATGCTGGAGAGTCAGGGATGGCTGGAGGCCGGTCCATGCTGGAGAGTCAGGGATGGCTGGAGGCCGGTCCATGCTGGAGAGTCAGGGATGGCTGGAGGCCGGTCCATAGTGGAGAGTCAGGGATTGCTGGAGGCCGGTCCATAGTGGAGAGTCAGGGATGGCTGGAGGCTGGTCCATAGTGGAGAGTCAGGGATGGCGGGTGGGGGCGGGGGTGGTGGGCAGCAGGACACGTTGTGGCAACACTGCCCACAGCAATGCCCCACAGGCCCCGGTAGAGCAGGGGCGGCCCTGGCTGCCAGGAGGCACTGGCCAGCCAGTGGACCCACCCTTGCCGGGCCTCGCCCCAGCCCCGGGTCCAGCACCTCAGGGTGCTGACTCAGACGCAGGGAATGCAGGGCCTGAATCCCAACCAGCGGGAAGACATGCCGGAACATTCCATGGGCAGGAAAATCCTACAGCCCCACACCGCCCACTTGTGTCTCTTGCGTACTCCGTGGTCCCTGTGGTCCACTTGATTCGATTCCACAGTGCTCCGGGCCAGCAGAGCCGAGCCGCACGGTCTGAGTGCGGACGACTGCCCAGGTCGCTGCTCTGCAAGGTGGCTTGTGGGGGGTCGGCCCCAGCATGTGCTTGTGTTCCAGCTGCCACACCGAGCTCGGGTCGGTTCCCGGGGCGCCCACTGCTAACTCAGCCATGGGGTGGGTGGAGGGCCATGCCAGTCACCACTAAAGCCACACTCTGTCCTCTCCCAGAACAAGCCACAAGGATCGCGATCTTGGGTCCGGAGGTGATGGAAGTGGCCCAAGGGTCTCCCTTCTCGGTGAACGTTCAGCTGCTGCAGGACCACGGGGAAATTGCCAAGAGTAAGCATCTCCGGGGGGAGATGACCTAATGTTTCCGAAAGAGAAACAGGCAGCAGGTTCTTTTTTTTTTTTTTTTTTTTTTTTTTTGAGACGAGTCTTGCTCTGTCACCCAGGCGGAGGCAGTGGCCGGATCCAGCTCACTGCAAGCTCCGCCTCCCGGGCCATCTCCTGCCTCAGCCTCCCGAGTAGCTGGACTACAGGCGCCCCCCCGCCCGGCAGTTTTGTATTTAGTAGAGACGGGTTTCACTGTGCTAGCCAGGATGGTCTCGATCTCTGACCTCGTGATCGCCGCTCAGCTCCAAAGTGCTGGGATTACAGGCTTGAGCCACCGCGCCCGGCCGGCAGCAGGTTCTTAAGCAGTGAAGATGCGGACAAGATGTTGCATGTGGCTCCTGAGGCGCAGAGGTGACTTCGTGCCCAGAGCCTGGCAGAGAGGTTGCAGGCGTGCCAGCTCCCCTGCCAGTCAGGGCAGCCATGGGTGTGTGTGCAAGCATGCGTGCACATACTGTGTGATGTGCGTGCTCATGTATGTGTGTGCACGTGTGTGTATGCCTTGCACAGGTGTGCACAGGTCTGACTGTGTATGTGTGTGGTGGGGGCACGCATGCGTGCGTGTCAGTGTGTCCTTCCTTTTCAGGAGGAACAGTCTCCGTTCCGGTGATGGGCCACTTTCTGCTTCCCCACTCGTCTGCCGGTGGGCGTCGCAGTTGTTTGCACCTTGGGCTGTAGTGAATGGTGCCGCTGTGAACACTTGTATACAAGTTTCTGTGTGAATGTGTTTTCATTTCTCATGGGTATGTACCTACAGATGGAATTGCTGGATCATGTGATAGATTTATGTTTGAACTTTTTTTTCTTTTTTGAGACGGAGTTTCCCTCTTCTTGCCCAGGCTGGAGTGCAATGGTACAATCTCGGCTCACCACAACCTCCGCCTCCTGCGTTCAAGCGATTGTCCTGCCTCTGCCTCCCGAGTAGCTGAGATTGCAGGCGCGTGCCACCACGCCCAGCTAATTTTGTGTTTTGAGTAGAGATGGGGTTTCACCATGTTGGTCAGGCTGGTCTCGAACTCCCGACCTCAGGTGATCAGCCCGCCTCAACCTCCCAAAGTGCTGGGATCACAGGCGTGAGCCACCGCACCTGGCCTGAACTTTTGAAGAAACTCCTAAACTGTTTTTCCAAAATGGCTGCAGCATTTTACAGTCCTGCCAGCAATGCATGAAGGTTCAGATTTCTCCGCATCTTCCCAGCACTTGGAATTGTGTCTTTGTGTAATAGCTGCCCTGTCGGTGTGAATTGGTAGCTCCTCGTGATTTTGATTCGCATTTCCCTAACAACCGTTGATTATGAGTGGCTCTCGCTGTGCTTATTGGCTATTTGTTTATCTTCTTTGGAGAAATGTCTATTCAAATATTGTACCCATTTTTTAAAAATTGGACTGTCAGACAGTACAGTGGCTCACACCTAAAATCCCACCACTTTGGGAGGCTGAGGTGCAAGGATCACTAGAGCCCAGGAGATCTTTCTTTTTTTTTTTTTTTTTTTTTGAGACAGAGTCTCGCTCTGTCGCCCAGGCTGGAGTGCAGTGGCACGATCTCGGCTCACTGCAAGCTCTGCCTCCCGGGTTCACGCCATTCTCCTGCTTCAGCCTCCCGAGTAGCTGGGACTACAGGTGCCCGCCACCACGCCCAGCTAATTTTTTGTATTTTTCATAGAGACAAGGTTTCACCATGTTAGCCAGGATGGTCTCTATCTCCTGACCTTGTGATCCGCCCACCTTGGCCTCCCAAAGTGCTGGGATTACAGGCAAGAGCCACTGCGCCTGGCCCCAAAATTATGTTTAATTAGCTGGTCATAGTAGTGTATGCCTGTGGTCCCAGCTACTTGGAAGGCCTAAATTGGGAGGGTCCCTTGAGCCCAGCAGGTTGAGGCTACAGTGAGCCCCATGACTGCACCACTACACTCCAGCCTGGGCGACGGAGGGAGACCCTGTCTCAGAAAAAAAAAGGGGGGAGAGAGAAAGAAGAAGAAGAAATTTTTGAAAAGTCGTCTTCTTATTTTTTTATTTATTTATTTATTTTTTTTGAGACGGAGTCTCGCTCTGTCGCCCAGGCTGGAGTGTAGTGGCCAGATCTCAGCTCACTGCAAGCTCCGCCTCCCGGGTTTACGCCATTCTCCCGCCTCAGCCTCCCGAGTAGCTGGGGCTACAGGCGCCTGCCACCTCGCCCAGCTAAGTTTTTGTATTTTTTAGTAGAGACGGGGTTTCACCGTGTCAGCCAGGATGGTCTCGATCTCCTGACCTCGTGATCCGCCCGTCTCGGCCTCCCAAAGTGCTGGGATTACAGGCTTGAGCCACCGCGCCCGGCCCGTCTTCTTATTTTTGAGCCGTGGAGTTCTTTACCGAGTCTTCATATAAGCCCTTTATCAGACACATCTTTGCAAATGTTTTCTGTCCACCTAAGGCTTGTCTTTTCTTCTTTTTTTTGTTTTGTTTTGTTTTGTTTTTTGAGATGGAGTCTCGCTCTGTCGCCCAGGCTGGAGTGCAGTGGCGCGATCTCGGCTCACTGCAAGCTCCGCCTCCTGGGTTTACGCCATTCTCCTGCCTCAGCCTCCTGAGTAGCTGGGACTACAGGCGCCCGCCACCGCGCCCGGCTAATTTTTTGTATTTTTAGTAGAGACGGGGTTTCACCGTGGTCTCGATCTCCTGACCTTGTGATCCGCCCGCCTCAGCCTCCCAAAGTGCTGGGATTACAGGCGTGAGCCACCGCGCCCGGCCTAAGGCTTGTCTTTTCATTTGCTTAATGCTATCTTTGGAACAGCAAAAATCTTTAATTTTGGTGAAGTCCAATTTGTCCATTTTTTCTTTTATGGATCATAGTTGTGGTACCGTATTTAAGAATTCTTTGCCTAACCCAAGTTTCACAAAGATTGTCTCATATCCCTCTGGAAGTCTTACAGTTCTAGCTCTTACATTTAGGCCTGTGATCCAGTTTGAGTTATTTTTATGGAAAAGATAAAGTTCTAAATTCATCTTTTCTTCATGGGGATGTTCCGTCATCCCAGCACAATTTGTTGAAAACACTACGCTTTCACCGTCGAGTTGCCTTGGCACCTTGGTTGAAAATCCGTCGGCTCTAAGAGTCAGGGTTTAGTTTATGCCTGGACTCCCAGTCTGCTCCACTGATCTGTCTATCCTGATTTATCCTCAGTCTATGCCAGAGCCACACTCTCTGGATTCTTGTCGCTTTTAGCACGTTTTCCAGTTGGAGAGTCCTCCAGTTTTGTTTTTTCTTTTCAAAATGATCTTGACTCTGCTGGGACGTTTACATTTCCGTATAAAATGTTAAGATCAGCTTGCCAACTTCTGCAACAACAACAAAAGAAGGCTGCTGGAATGTCGAGGGGGTGCATTGAACCCCTCTGGAGGGAATGGCCAGATGAAATCTTACCAACACTGAGGCTCATGAACACGGAAGCAACTCTCCATGTAGTTAGAGTTCCTACTTTATCACCAGTGTCTTGTTACTTTCAGCACACATCTTGCACTTCTTTGTGAAATCTGTTAATATATGATAATATTTTATTTATTAGATATTGAATTATAAGTATTTTGTTAATTATTTCTAAACACTGATAAATTTATTGTATTCTTTTTATGCCGTCATGAGTAGAATTTTCTTTCTTTTTTTTTTTTTTTTGAAACAGAGTCTCGCTCTGTCGCCCAGGCTGGAGTGCAGTGGTATGATCTCAGCTCACTACAAGCTCTGCCTCCTGGGTTCTCGCCATTCTCCTGCCTCAGCCTCCCGAGTAGCTGGGACTACAGGTGCCTACCACCACGCCCGGCTAGTTTTTTGTATTTTTTAGTAGAGACGGGGTTTCACCGTGTTAGCCAGGATGGTTTCGATCTCCTGACCTCGTGATCTGCCCGTCTCGGCCTCCCAAAGTGCTGGGATTACAGGCTTGACCCACCGCGCCTGGCCTAGTAGAATTTTCTTAAGTTCATTTCAGAGGTTGCTAGACTACAATTGATTTTTACATATTGACCTCATTTCCTTTGACTTGCTTTTCTCATTTATTAGTTGTACTAGTTTTATGGAGGATTCCTTAAGATTTTGTCTATATATGATCATATTGTCTATAAATAAATATAATTTTACTTCTTCCTTTTCAGTCTGAGCATGAAAACCTGTAAGGTTTTTACATTACCTCCAGCAATGAACGAGGGTTCCAATGGCTCCACACCCTCCTCAGTACTTGCTAATGTCTGTCTGCGTTTTTTTTGAGACTGAGTCTTGCTCTGTCGTCCAGGCTACAGTGCAGTGGCGCGATCTTGGCTCACTGCAAGCTCCACCGCCTGGGTTCACACCATTCTTCTCCCTCAGCCTCCCCAGTAGCTGGGAAAACAGGCGCCCACCACCACGCCCGGTTAATTTTTTTTTGTATTTTTTTTTAGTAGAGACGGGGTTTCACTGTGCTAGCCAGGATGGTCTCAACCTCCTGACCTCGTGATCCACCCGCCTCGGCCTTCCAAAGTGCTGGGATTACAGGGATGAGCCACCGCGCCTGGCCTTTTTTTTTTTTTTTTTTTTTTTTTTGGAGACTGGGTCTTGCTCTGTGGTCCAGGCTGGAGTGCAGTGGTGCGATCTTGGCTCACTGCAACCTCTGCCTCCCAGGCTCAGGCAATTCTCCTGCCTCAGCGTCCCGAGTAGTTGGGACTACAGGCACTGGCCACCACGCCCGGCTAATTTTTGTATTTTTAGTAGAGACAGGCTTTCACCATGTTGGCCAGGATGGTCTCCATCTTCTGACCTCATGATCCGCCCGCCTCAGCCTCCCAAAGTGCAGGGATTACAAGCGTGAGCCACCGCGCCGGCCTGTCTGTCTTTTGGATATAGCCATCTCTGTGGGTGTGAAGTGGTGCCGCCTTGTGGTTTTGATTTACATTTCCCTAAAGGCTAATGATGTTGAGCATCTTTGTGTGTGCTGTGGGCCATTTGTAGAT